TTTTTTTAAGGAAATGTTTAACGCATTCACTGCTGGAGCCGCTAAAACCACTGCTCTGCTTCTTGGAGGGGTCACACAGGCTTCCTGGTCTCACACTCCTGCCAAATTCCACAAGGAAAAGCGCCCCACGGGGTAAATCATCAGGAGAAAACACAGCACTAACCGATCTCGCACACTTGGGGTGTTTTATTTCCCTAAAACTACACAAAGAAGTAAAAGCTAAGCACGTGTGTCACATGCAGCTAGAACCTCCACACTTACTTTGCTTCATATATTTTCCAGATAGATTTGGGAGAATAGAGATTAGCCCTATTTATTTATTAGCCCTATAATTCTGCCCTATTTATTTATTAGCCCTATAATGCTGCCCTAGGCAGATTTACACCTTTGCTTCTCTACAGACTTGGAACTTGCACCTATCAACCTACATCCCACAGCCAGGTCCTAGGTTTGAGTGTCTTATATTGAGATATCTGGCAAGGTACCTGATACACAGATATCTCTGCTTTGTGGTTACATCTTCCAGGAAGATTGTCTTGGGGAAGATGCATGAAAAACTCTTTGCTGACTCAGAACCCGTGGCAGTCCAGAGGGACTAAAGAACAACAAGGATGCTGGCCTTCTGACCTTCAATTAATCATTCATCTAAACCTTTTGGGTTTTTTAATAGCTAAAAACCCCCAAAAGTACATCAAGCTCAAGAGAGGTTCTTAAGTTAATGTTCTAACCTCTTCTTCTGCCTTTATCTTTGCATCACCCAAATTACTTTACAACAAACTTAAGACATCATCTCTTTCTGCCAGTATTTGCTTGCACAGCATTGTCTCGTAAGAGCATTTTGCACTGCTCAGGTCTAAATTAAATTTAAACTGTTGGACAAGAGTCTAGGGAGGTTTCCAAGAGTCTGTGGCCAGAAGCCTCGCTGGAGGCACTTCAGACACTGGTTGTCTCCTCCTCCAGACAGGCTTATTTCTAACCCGGGAGCATCAGTCGTCTCTGTATTATAAAGAAATTAAGAAATATAGGGTACAGGATAGGAATTTATTCACATTTTCTGAGAGACCTAAACAAGGACATGGCCACGGGCTCCAATGACTTTGGTGCTCACAGTGCATTTGTCTCTGCAGTTTTTCAGCAGCTGGGAATCCTTCCCTTTGCACATCGTTTGCCTGGGTACACAGCTGAGCTTTCTTTACTACGGTCCGTGGGTTGGCTCCAACAACAAAAACAACTGCAAAAAATGTTAGTTTCAATAGTTTTAGACCTTTGGGGAAAAAAAAATTACTCAGAAATTGGAAATTTGGGTCCTTTGGTTTCACAAGTCATGATGTCCACAATCTTTCAGGAAATCTCCTCCGATCCAGGAAAGCACTTCTATTCAAGAAAACAAGCCCTGCTTCTTTTATTATTGAAACAGAAAAACGGAAACATGCTCTAAAATTACCCATGTGCTTATGTTCCATTGAGATTAGCAGGCTGTAGCTGAGAAGCTTGGCTGTGCTTCACCTTGGCCCTTGAGGACACCTCTGCGGCAGCGCTCCTGCCTAAGCCGATCACTTCTGCAAAACCTCCTGACGGGGCTTCAGGGTGACCACGACAGGGGACACAAGGGCAGGACAGGCAGCAGGGACCAGTGGGAGGGCAGAAACCTTAGATTTGGGAGCCTTGGACTCTCATATCGTGGTTGAAGTTCCCTGGGTTAAGGGCAGAGCTTTGGCCTCCCCAACCGGCGTTGTTGGTTATCAGGCCCATTGAACCCATCCCTTGTTCTGCAGTTTGATCAGCACATTGAAAATGAGTTACCTGCCCAGCCCTTCCTAATGGGATGACAAGCCAGACCTATTGCCCAAGGGAAACACTCACCCATTGATTTTATTTGATGAGGACATGCAAGCATGGATTACTACCCAACGTTTCGCTTCCTGCAGCAACGCAGCCATGCTCGAGATTAGATTAACAGGAAAACCTGACTCAGTCTTTAACTCTTTACTGCTCTTCTGGAGCGAATCCAGCAGGAAATGTTTTCTTAAAGATTAGCCCTCATTAGCACGAGCAGGAGAGCAGCTRAAAGCAGTGATATCAGAAAATAAAAGGGCCTGTGTGTGTCTGGAGATACCGACACGGGACATTTTCTGGTTTTCATTTTGAAACAACAGTCCCTGCAGGTCTGTATTGCAGAGCAGAGGAAAACTCCTCTCCATTTCATTCCCTGCCACTTTCCCTACCGTTCTRTTTTACAGCACCTGGACACAGATTTCCTCCTCTTTAAAGGACCTGACTTGGCGCGACTGGAGCACTCATTAATCTCATTAGCACAGGGAATGAGCGGGGCTTGCAGGGGCTCCCAGTCCTTCACCCAGGACACATTCCTCTCTCCTCACTGCCRTGGGAAGCAGAAATTCACCCTGTTCCTCTGCCCGGTGCTGGTACCGCTGGACTGGGAGGAACTGGGAGGGCAGAGGCTCCTCGAGCACCGCAGCCGATGCAGGTCCCAGCGCCACTCGTGGGTCGCTCAGTGCGGTCCCTTTGCAGGAACATCAGCGAGGGAAGCACGTGCATCCTCTTCCAGGGATCTTTGCAGAGGGGAGAAAGCAACTCACCCAAAACCCAACCTTTTTAATGCCTAAATGTGCTAGAAGGTTATGTAGAAAAAAAAAAATATGGTTGAAATAAAGTGAGGAAAACAGAAAGAAATGCAAGAAGACAAAAGGCTCTTTGTTGGTATTTAAATGGCCAAACCACAAGTTTGCCTGCTTGTCTTCCCAGTGCTCCACGTGCCTTCCCAGCCCCTCTCATCCAGCCCTCCTCGCCCCGGGTCCTCACTCCACTGTGGGGCTATGTCTGGCTCTGCAGCCGGGCTAGGACCTTCCGAGCGCTCGAAGCTTAAGGGAATATAGAGGCAATAGGGGCTTTCACCTTGGACACTAGCTGAGAGCAAGCCCAGCCCCTCCAAAAGAGCAAGGAGGAGAAATATTTCCCTGAAAATCCCCTCAATGAGGAATGCAAGGAGAGAAGGAGCAGGATTTCCTGGAAGCCCCAGGTAAGAGGCAGAGCCCTGGGAGCCTTCCCGAAGTGTTTCACCCTGCTGAAATCCGTGAGCCAGAAACAAAGAGCAGGACGAGGAGCATCTGGATTTCATCTTCTCCCTAAAGTGAGTAAGGAAGCTTAATGAGCAGGACTCTGGACTTCATCTTCTCCCCGAAGTGAGCAAGGARTCTCAATGCGGGGGCGAGAGCCAGCAGTTCGTTGTGCCCCGGGGCCGGGCGGCCCTTCCTTTTCCTCTTCCCGCTGCTCCTTCTGAGAAGCACAAGCAYGTGCTCAGCATCACTGCTGGCAGGCGCCCCGCGCTGCTTCGTTCCTCCCAGGAAAACGCGGCGTTATCCACGCCTCTGGATCGGCACAGCAGCGCCCGGGGCTGGCTCGCTTTCCCACGTGCTGCTGAAGGGATTTTCTGCCTGCATCCCCTCGCTGCAGCATCATCCTCGCGCCAGGCTGAGGATGTCCCCTCTGCACCAGCCCAAGGATGCCCCTTCCCCTGGGGGTCCAGAATTGCCCCCGTGAGCAGGACCTAGACCTTGTCTGAATCCCTCCTAAAATAACTCAGGTGCTGCAAGAAAACAGGGATCTGGGAAGACAGAGATTAAATTAACTGCATTAACAGCATCGGAGCAGTCCCAAACAGCACCCATGGGTCTGTCTGCACGGGCTGGAGGGAAACAGGGTCTTTAGCCTAATGTTCCTCCCAATCAGAGGCAGAAAGGAGACAGACCAGCCCTGCAAACTGCCCTTGCCACATCCCAGGCTGGAAAAAAGACAACTTCTTTTCCACAGATGCAGGCTCCCCGTCTGTTATTCCAAGGATAAAAGCATTGCTCCATAATGACTTCCCTTCCTTCCGAACAGCCCATGTGAAATGAGCCTCCTCATTTCGTTTCTGTTTGTTTTCTTCCCCAGAAATTGGAGGGACATTACGCAGGAAAGGAGAAATTCGCTCTTCTGGGGTTTGTTTTCTGTTCTTTTTTCCCTGCTCCTTTCTGCTCCTCTTTAGTTGGTGTTTTACTTTGGAAATTCCCCAGCGTTCAAATCCTTTCAAGATATTGTGTTTCCAGGCTCTTGCACAATTCCCTTCGGAGCTCCCGTGTAATTTGTCCTTAGCYACTTTCCCACACCCTGCGCCTCTCCATGGCTCCTTTCTTCCTTCAGAATTTCACACCGTTTCCTCTGGGGACGGGCTGCGATCACAGTCCCAGAGCTTCCTCCGCTGGAGCACGGGGCAGAAATTGCAAAAATTAGTGTTGGTCATTCATGAGAATGAGCAATGGGAAAAGAAAAAAAAAAGAACAT